GCCGACCGGTTGGCCCTACTGGTCGGCTGCAATACGGTCGGCGGTCGGGGTCGGCGGTCGGCAGGGATGCAACCATTTTCTATATCTATTACAATCCTGCTGCCAACCATTTTCCAATTTGTGCCTCTTCTTTTTCTCAAATTTTATTTTTCCTTGAGTGGAATTTGTGCTTGACTCTCTATTGGTCATCAATACATTCATGACCCATTGGGAAATATGTGCTTGCATTTTGCAAGCGGGAGTTTCATGCGCTCACATCCAGCACAACCCAAAAACAAAGGATCAAGAGAGATCAAAGCTGAAAAAAGGACCCAGTGCAAAATCCTCAAGAAGAGGAAACAGAGCTCAGCGGGTTGAGCACATAAGTGGTATTCAGGAGGTCGTGGGTTCGATTTTCCATGTCGTCCATTTCATTCCCGCCCCCTGTGATACACCTTCAGGTTCAACAGTGGAGATAATCGGCATGGGCCTCCTGGCTGGTCGTGGAAGGGTCTGGCTCGCCCTTTCCAGCTCGCGCCGGGCGTTAGGAGTCGGGGTACTGCTCCTTGCATAGAGCAGAGGCTGGGAATTATTAGGGAGAGTTAACCCATAACCGCAACCAATCGCAGAATAGGTAGTGTGAGGCAAATGAGTGAAGAATATAGCTTTAGTTTTTTCAAAAAAAAAAGAAAAGAAAAGGGAGACCCAAAAGAAACATTGGTGTGAAGGTGAACCCCGTTGGGGACTACTTTGGCCCACACAGCATGGAATGCTCCACGATCCAGTACACCCAACCACGCACTCAAATCACAGCCACCATTGGTGGAAAATCACCTCAGGTGACCACGTCCGCCGAAATCATTAGGAGACGTGCATGTATACCTCTCAAGGGGATCAAACTGGTAACCTTCAGCTTGACAAGCCGACACTTAATGAAAGAGGCTAAGAGGGTTGGGGTTAATGTGAAGTCCATAAGGAGCTACTTCACCAACAGGTGTACCATACACTCAGACCTTCTCACCAATGGTGGAAATCACGTCAGGTTACCCTTTAGGGACTACTCCACTCCATTCCCATGGGCAGATCGATGATGGGGATGTGTGTGTGTGTGTGTGTGTGTGTGTGTGTGTGTGTGTGTGAGAGAGAGAGAGAGAGAGAGAGAGAGAGAGAGAGAGAGAGAGAGGATGGACCGCGGGAAGGTCGGGATTGGCAGATCAAGAATCTGGAA